ATATTTTGATTTCTCGACATTCCGATGTGTTAGTTTTTCGATTGTTCGATTTCTCGATGTTTCGATATTTCAGTTTTTCGATTTCTCGAAAAATATTTTTTCTCCTTGCTTATATGCTTTAAATATATTTTATCTTGTCCGCAGTGATTTTTGCCGTTGGTTTTTACTTTATAGAGGTTAACAATTTTTTTTTATAATTTTTCAAAGATTTGTTGGACTCTACTTAAGAAGCTAGGGAAGTCCTGTCGAAATAACTTGGACCTTCGACCAGTTTTTTATATACTTTTATACCTTGCAAAAAACTAATCCTCAATAGCTTTAAATTTACTTAAACTGAGTCTAGTTATAGTTATAGGTTTTTAAGCTTTCTCTGATGGTTACATCTCAAAAACGAATATCTTAGTTATTTTTTGAACGATCAAATTTTGGAAAAACCACTTTCGCATATTTGTTCAGACAGAGGAATCTGATCTACAAAGGAACAAAACCCCAAGTATGTCTTATCATTTAATATAATTTTTATAAAAAGTATCAAACAATCCTTTCTAAAATGTGCAAAATCTAATACCTCGACTCCTCTACACTTGCCATTTATCAATGCATTCATGTTTTTAATTTCGCTTGTGTAAATTTTTGAAAAAATTTAATACGTGCTTTGAAGTTATAACCTGCTTGATGTATCGGTAACCAAAATTTATTTGTTTTCCCAAACGCTTAATAGGTATCTGACAACGAGTTGGTAGTCATATGCTTTTAACACATGTTATAACAAACATAAAAAAAATGTTTATACATCGGACTGGAACAAATAAAAATTACTCCTATTACTTAATAGTAACTAGGGTTCCAACTTTAAATTGCTAAAATTTTAGTTTTCTTTATTCTGGGTTGAAAAACAAGTTTAAGTAACTAGTCCCGGTTTCCGTTCGTCTGTCTATTGTCAGTCACCTGTCACATCGGGTAGATGGTAAAACGCTAACCAAAATTTGTCTGATTATCGCCTCACACTGTAATGACGTCAAGTTAAAATTTTTATTAGTAAAGGCAATTTCACTTTTATAAAATGTGTACTTGTGCTTTATGAATCCGCCTTGTTTTTGTTTATTATTTTTCTTAAGCCTTGAAGCTGAAACATTCGTGATTCGATCCCTGGCGGCCTTTCCAATTTTATTTATTAATCAAATCAAGTATGGTACACTCCATTTTTACTTCCCGTGCGTAAGTGAAGAATTCATAGGATTAGCTACTTTTATGGTTTCTCGACGTTTCATAACCCCTCAGGTACGTCTGCCTGTTACTTGTCGTCTGTTGTCTGTCGTTTATGTCACGTTTTATTAAATACTAGTCTCCGCAACTACCGGACCGATTGTTATCAAATTTTATATGCACTTTACGGTTATGGTGTAGATGGTAAAACACTAACCAAAATTTGGTCAGTCATCCCCACTAACAATCTGATGACGTTCCCTCACTATTTTTAGTAGTCAAGATTACCTAAATGTTATAAAATAGTATAATAATCGATATTTCGCTTCTCCTCAGACGCTCCGTAGAATAGTAAGGTACTCTGCTCCGTGTGGGTTCCAATCTCATCATTACCGTTTTTTGTCTGTGTCTTGTATTATCCATATTTTTACTTATATAAATACATAAAACACATAAAATTTCGGCCAAATCAAATTTTATAATTTTTCGAAAAAACTGAATTTGTTCGATTGTATTTAAGGGCCGAGGGAAGTTCTGTATAAACAGCTTCAAACAGTTTTTTTTATTGCGTTCGAATCAAAACAGTGGCACAGTGTGGGTAATTAAGTTATGATACATTTAATGAATTTAGAAAAATAAGCTCCACAAGCTTTTCTTACTTATATTATTTTTTCTATGCAACTGGATTTATTTAAGTGTACTTCAGGACCGACAGAAGTTCTGACTAATAATATAATACTGTTTTTTAATAAAACACCTTATTTATATGTATTGATACAGTGACTTCTTGTATCTGGCAATTCAGAACTATTTAGAGTTAAAAGAAACTATTGATATGTCTTGTAAGGCAGGTGACATAAAAAATTGGCCAAATTTTGTATTAATTAACTTACGTTCTATTTGTTTTTTTGTTTGTTTGTTTTATTAAATTTTGTTTCTTTTATCATTATTATAGAACTCAGTAATTAGGTTTTCATGCTTGTTGAGTTTCCTCTATTTCGATAATAATATTAATGTTGACTCTTCAATGTTTTAATTTTTTTAAATATTCCGTATTGAGCAATTTATGTGTATTTGTTTGGATGTTCGTTCCCTATATTACCTGCGAACGCAAGGAAGATCTAATAAGTCTGAAAATTGGAGAAAATCGATCGCCGTCAGTAATTCTCATTTCATCATCAAAAACTTACGAAGTAAAACGAGCATTCGATGGTGCTGAAATGGATTTTGGAAGCTTCATCATCGACACATTGTCGAAATCAGTGAGGACACCTGGTTGAAAACTGCCAGAATTGTACATTTACTTTTAATACTACAAACATCGAATGACTATTAGATAATAATTATAATGTTTGTGTTTTTTTTGTCTGGTTGGCAACATATTTAAAATTTTATAATGGCATACCTGATTATCAAACTGGAATCAGTAGCTGGCATGTTCTAATCGCTTGTTAGCTGCATTAATTTCAAAATTAACAAATGAAAACTAGCATGCTAACATTGCTGCCAATATAATTCAGTATTGCCAACACAAAAATTTGCTTCAGTCATTAATTGTTACCCCATAGTTAAAATTCCTGCATAAATTAGGTATACACCAAAAAATATTGTAGTACAAGTTCGAAACGTTTCTGTAACAAATTCAAACAATCTACTTTGGCTAAGGTTTGCGTGCAAATTCGTAGCTACCTAACTTTTTTTATAGTTGCAGTTTGTTTTCAAGATACTTACGTAACAATGTCTTTTTACAAGTATTAATTCAAGGAGACCTCAATATTTAGCATCATTGGTGGTAATTTGTTTATATATTTGTTAGTACCTATTCACTTAAATTATAAAACTTAGTGTCCTCTATGTATCTAAAAATATTTTATGATAGAAATTAAGTATGTTCGAAAAGTATATTTGTGAGTGTTACTATGAGAGGCTAAATTAAGAACTCTTTTCTAGGTAGCAAACGTTAAAATTGTCGGCTTGAAATTAGGACAGTCTTTAATAATAAGTTTATACAACACGCACGTTGACAATTTCGAGACAAAAAAATTGAAAAAAATATAGTGCAAAATTTGTTCCCATTATTCTACCTTACCAGCTGACCTAAATTACCAGAATTGTTGGACTATCATATCCGTTTCCTATTGTTTATGATGTTTTTAAACTTTAAACAGCGATTATTATTTAATTCGAATATTGCATTTATTTAAAAAAAAACTGTTTCCCCATTTTCCCTAATAAATCAGATCACGTTACAGATTAGATTCGTATTTTAAATAAATATGTACATAGTAAAATTCCAAAATCATCAACTTAAATTTTTTGACGTTGGCTGTATAACACATAAATAGGAATAAACTGAATTTTAGTTACAATTTTACTTTTCAAGATTTAAAAGGGAAAGGTGGCCGAAAATAAATATTAATATATTTCGTACATTAAAAAAATGGGGAGATATGCAAAATACTGCCGATTTTCAATGTTGTGAACTTTGTAAACGTAGGGGGTGGCTGCACAACGGGGTGCAAGTGGCCACGCGACCAGGGTCACTCAATCGAAGCACGACACTGTACCGTATCCATTAATATATCACGCTTATTTCGCTCCACCAACTCTGAATACTTCCCGGCGGTAGGTTCATAGTATTTATGCATAAACATGTATCAATTTATTGTGACACAACTGATAAAAATGATAGATTTAAATGGCATATTTCTCATGATAGGTATACACAATACACTGTATTTGCCGTGGTTAATAATTTATAACTGCTGCACAAACCGTGTGAAATTTATCTGAACAATATACCGTATCGATATAATATATTATTACGTTGGATTATAAATAACTAGAAATTTATTGCAATTTGTTCAAGTGTATGTGGGTAATAGCCAAATTTAAAAATGTGACCTACATTTAAAAAATTACGCGAATCGTTAATTTCATCGTTCTGGCAGATTTGAAAAAAATATCAACTACATATATGCATTTGTAAATATTAAATAGTTAATTAACAGTTATATTGAAATTACACCAAAATTATTTAGAAACAGAATTAACTTATGTAAGTTGTTATTGAAAATATTGAGTTTACTCCACCCGTATTTAACTAAAGAAACAAGAGGTTTTAAAGCATTGTTTTTGTTGTAAATTCTCTTTAAACGTTCGTCGCTTTCGAGTTTATCCAGCTCTTGAATTTCTCGCCAATCTATAAATCTACCGCTGCCTACCGGTCGCTTGCCGAACTAACTCGATACAAACTTGAGCGCTTCCTCGCGGCCACTTCGAAAACTACCGAACAAAAGCTTAGGATTCTGGTTCATTTCCTACCGGCTTGCAGTTCTGAAAGCTCGCCAGCGTATCGGTGCACTTGAGAAAACCCGTCGTGACATCTATAGGATGTTGAAGTATCGATTTCCCAAGTTTACGATTCTTTATACTTTCGAATAAAGAATAAACATAAATCGGCCTCCGTAAAACTTTTTATGGATCGTACAGTTGTTGATTTCTGTTATTGTCCTTTTTTCTTGAATAACGAACGATTCGGGAAAATAATGCAACAAACAAGGAAAGGCATTACCGACTTGGAAATCCGGAGCTCCGGAAACGGCGGGGACGTGTGGCTCTACCATTTCAGACCGGAAATGCTGAATATTATTCATAGTTAACCGAATCTATTGCGATGTAAGATTGCAGACACACCCTTTCTTAACGACGGGTGCCTAATTAGTTGCTGCAGGGGCGTTTTACTTGATTAAAAGAGGATCAGTGGGTTGAGATAAATACTTTCATGGACTTACCACATTTTGTTCTACTGAGTGTCTCTGAAATACTGTTGTATGTTTTTGGTGATGACAAGTGACTGTGGGATGATTTTTCCGTGCGATCTATGCCTGGAATTACAAATTAAAGATCATCCTCAAATTATTATATCAAAAATTTATCTTTTACAGATTTTTTAAATTGGATGTTTGTTCATGTAGGGATATGCAATCAGAGCCGGATTTAAGGACACAGGACACGGATCCTTTTGTCGATAAATGAACATGTAAACTCATACAAAACAGAGGGATTACAAAAGAGTGCTTCTAAAAATGGTCATCGTTCCTTCAGAAATTTGTAGACGTGTTTCTTACGACACAATTCTCTTAAAAAATGGTTTTTTGTCTTTATGTTATTATATTTTAACACTAACTTCTATTTTCAGAATGGGTAAAAATATTGAAATTTTGTAAACACTATTGTTTTTAGTTTGGAGAGTGAAGCTTAATTTAGTACAAAAAACATAAACATGTACAGAAAACATTTAAAACATTTTCTTTTAAAAGACTACTCTCATTATATAACTACAAGTTTTTGTGGTAAGTTTTTGTCACTGCGAAAAAATAGCCCAGATCACGTTTTTGCATAGAATGCCTTAAAACCAGTACTGTTTGTGATATGTCACTTTTATAATATGAATATGTACTTTGTTTAATTTGCGTTAAAAAACACAAGCGAAGAGGAATAAAAAAATCTTAGATTAAAAGTGTGTCATTATTTTTAGTTTTGTGACATTTTTCTTAACAAATTTCAAAATTATGTAAGTAGGTAACTACGCACTACCCACTTGATTATGGATAATATTAGAGTACACCTACGTTGCGTAACTGAAAAATTTTAATAACTGGTCATAACTAATAAGTGTTGTCAGTCGGTTATGGTACAATAAAACATAATTTACATGTGGACGTATCTGTAATCGCTATCACCCCGTATTTATGGGAGTTGAAATGTAGATATTCAGTCGGCAACCCTCGCTTCGGTTGATTAATAGACTACAATCCACCCATTTAGTAGTTCGTAAGTTTTGTAGTAGGGTTGAATAATCTGATAACGACTTTATATTACTCTTACTAACGACAATACAAGCTCTTGATGTTTATACAGAGCGAGTGTGTCAGATTTAAATCAACATTCCATTGTACTCGTTAACATTTCTTTCGTTGTTCGCTGAAACCGTAGTCTTACATAAAGCTGAGCTTATACTTATATCTACGATTTTCAAATTCTTACACCGCAAAGATAGCAACTAATTTTCTTTTTTCGTGTGGGTGTGTTTTTCTGTAGCGTGTCCAGAGCAACTTTGACGACAGAAAACTATTTTCTAGTCCCGTGTTATAAAAAAATGTTCTAAAATTATTTAGCCGAATCGAGTTTCTAATTTTTTTTGAAAATTTTATCTCTTAACGCCTATACAGTATGTCACCGGATTGACTTTGTAAGAGAAATTCTTTTTGTCTGTTTTTCCTGATAAAAAGTCAAGGAATACAAATTTTGGCTAAACTAAAAACAAGTGTTTCATATACAAAAACTTTAAATTGTTCAGATTTTTCTAAGTAAATTATCACAAAATACAAACAACCCTGCATTTCGAAACAAAATTAAAAATATATATTGAACAAATTTTTCTTATTAAGTTTTTTAGGGTTGAATATACAGAGTGAGTCACTATTCGCACGTTCCTCGATATCTCACTATTTATTAATAAAAAGCCAAAGACTAAAGTTATATGGTTTTTTGAGAACTATACTCTAAAATTATTTTAACTATACAAAGTGTTCTGTTTTTAAGGCGTAACATACAACTTAGTTTTTTTTTTTTAATTAAACATCCTATATAAATATTTTTACATTTTTAATTGATTTCTTCTTTGATTTTACAACCGCATCTTATCTTTCGATGCAACGTTGCCAAGTTATTGCAATTTTCTTGAAATATGTAAGTATTTAATTAAATATTCATCTACAAAGTGTTTATGAAGTCTTGTGTTATGTCTTAAAAGGACAACACTTAACTTAAAAACAATTTTAGAGTACAGCCCCCAAAGATCCGTACTATTTTGGTATCTGATTTTTTTCTATCCCTAATAACAATAATTAGTGGGATAACGAGGACTGCACACTTAGTGACTCACCCTGTATACATTTTAATCTTTTAATCGTTGTACTGTAGTTAATGCTAGTTTCTTGCCACAATTAAGAAAAAACCTTTTTGTAGATTCTAAGAGACTGTCAAATATACTTTTTTATTATTTTGTAATAAATAACCGACATATCTAACATTAAAAATATGGATACATTACTGAACCACAAATAAAAAGGCATGTTCACTATAAATTTCAAGCAACATTTATTTAAGGAAATTTTAAGATGACGTCATCAATTTTTTGGAATGAATGAATATGGAATATAAAATTTCAGAGCAATTTATTTTCTAGATTTTAAATTAAATTGTAAAATTTGGTTGCGCAGCAAAATTTTCAGATGACATCAATTTATTTTAAAAATATGATTAGAGAAATTTTGGATAATACAATTTTACATCAATCAGTGCAGTAATTTCAAAAACTAATCTAATAACAGGAGAACCGACAGATACTTGGAAACGGAAGACCTACTTTTACATATTCTAAGATCCTTCTACTGTCTGTTTTATTAGACACAATCTCCAAAACTACTGAATTCACTGTTCCGAAATTTTGTATGTATTTTAAGAATATCGTAGGTGATAAAAAATTAACTTAACTACTTATTTTATCAAAGAAACTACTTATACAGACTCGTTGACAGTGATTAACATATTTATATACTTTTTTGTTATAGAACAAATACTTCAAATATTATAAAAACCTAATATAATTTTTTCACTTAATTGTAGGTCAGAAGATTTGAAAAATAAAAGCGTAAAAGAGTTAGCTTATTTGTACTTTATTATATACAAATTATACATACTGAATAAATTCTAATAATATTGACATATCCAACAATACAAGCCTAAATGTACAATTAACAAAAGTGAAAAACACTCACATACTCATCCAAATATAAAATTTTTAGCAACAAAATACATTTTCGCTGATGAATACTTTTTTACGACTGGTTCAGCAGCTCTATGATGTAATAGCCGCTCCAGAGAATATCTCAGCTCGTAAGATTTTATTAAAAATGTTTCTTTATCTAGTAAAACTTCATCAATGTAGTTAAGAAGAGAAACACACTGTAGATTATACTCGTATTTTCTAAGAACCAAATATAATGATATGCAAGCCAACTCTGATGGTTTCAACGACGAAAAATCTATTAGTAGGGTAAACATTTCCAACAAAAACATAGCGCTATATAGAATTTTCTAAAAATGGATGACATAAAAGTTTCATGAAATTTAAACAACAAAAGAACTTACACAGTCAGTTTCCAATTTTTCATTACATAAGAAATAGAACAAGAAAGAAGTTGGTTCGACAATATTTGTGTCAAAGTGTAGTAATTTTAAAATCATTTGTTCTGCCAAAAAAATGTACTCCTTAGAGTACTTTCCATTAAGCAAACGAATTAGTTGGGAGACCTAGAATAATAAGTGAAACAATAATCGAATTACTAATGTCATTACCGATTTATACTTCCACAATATCAACTTCAAAGTGCTTATTAGCAAGCCATAAACATGTAATTCCCATCACATCGTAAATATCGGAAGGAATTGTTCCAGTAGCTAACATGCAATCAAACATACGTATTCCAACAAAAAAAGCAGGTGGTGATAAATTAAATTGGCTCTAAAAATTTATAGAAGTAGTGAAAACATTAACGGTATTTGATTTTGCTTACTTGTACATCGCTTAAATAATTGACCATAATCATCCTCCGTTTAACATCAAAAGTTTCATGCAAGAACCCTTTTCTAAAAACAAAATATTTCTCCCTTTCAAGGATGTACTTAAAATTTTCCTACAAGAATGATAAATTTTCAATAAAATATTTGTTAAATTAAAAAAATTTTACCTCAAAATAATCAGCATCATACAGACAATCTTTGTAAAAGTCTTCCTCAGCTGTAACTTTCTTTGTAGGTATAATTTCCAACAGTTGACTTGGTGGATGATTAATTTTTAATATTGACAGTGGTCGTACAATTTTGGATTTTACTTCTAATTTTGGCGATGGCGTGCTGTGTGCTTCATTCCAATAACCTTCGGGAAAATAGTTAAAGGTTTGCAATTTTCCACAAAAACTTTGTTTACCTTTGATACTTTCTTCAGTATGTATATGCTCTTCAGTACTTTCTGAACCGTAATATTTTGTAGTTTTTTCGACTATATTTGATGATTCCGTACACACTTTTCGCACTTGACTCTGTTTAACATTCCTGACATTTGTACCAATTTTAATGTTAATCGCAGTTGTTGGATCAATATTTATAAAAAAACCTTGCAATGACTTTCGTTCTCCAATGGATGGAATTGCACAATTTCTGTACACTTTGTTAAAGGAGGAGTTTGATTTAAAATGTACACACTCCATTGTTACTCAACAATCTTTCACAGTACCACATACAACTGACTACTTTACTGTATTTAAACTGCACTGGTCTTGGTTGAAAGCATGATAACTTTTTCTAAAACCATTATCTATTGAAAAAAGGTAGCATATGACCTTAAACGAAAGACGGTATAAAAACATATTTTCCCTCGGTTATTACTATTAACTTTTACTAAAGTTGTTTTTATCCAAAAGCGCTATGCAATACATTCAGATGGTATATAGGCAAGTTTTGTATTTTTTCTATTACCGATAATAACTTTAACATAAGTTTTTTCACCAAAGCAATTTTCATAGTATAAATATTCCTAGCAGACAAAAACTGGGTTAAAGTTTTTGAGGTTTGTTTCACCTTGGCCCTCTCTACTTTATTTTATAATCAACAAGATCAAGCGAAAATGAAACAAATATGTGTTGTATATCATATCTGCGTCATACTAAATAAGCTTTCACCTTCAAGCTAAAAACAATGGCGTTTAAAGAAATTCAATATTTCCACTACCTAGTTCACAAGGTATGAGACCGTGAAATTAACTAGGACACCTGTACACAGAAAATTCCGAATGTAATGCCATTGAACGATAAAGTATATTCTTTTTAGGTATTTTCTACAATACATTTGCCAATTTTCTTAAATCCGTTTATAAGAAGTATGATGTGTCAAATCTATCTCTTGATCTTGGGAAATTTTGCATTATAGTAAATTTAGATGGTATCGAATTAAAAATACTATGACCATATGAAATCTAGTTTTAATCCTGGACCTGATGGACTTCAAATACTTTTCTTGCGCTCTCTCTAATTCATCATATTCTCTCCATCCCCACACTTCCGACCCATACATCAATGTAAAAAACCAGCCTATCAAACATCATAGTTTTTTTTTTGTCATGTTCAAATTCCTCGCCTAAACAAAAGCTTATACACTTATGCACAAATCTGATTTAGATCAGTTGTATACAGGGTTAGTCACGAGAGAATTACTTCTGAAAATTATTTTTACGCAACCCAAAATACGAATACCATGTACCATTTGATACTAACTGAATTTAAAATGAAATGCTTAATCCATGATTGCTTTGAGTTTGGCAATCTCATTTTGACAATTGTGGAAAATGAGGTTACGCGAGTGTCCATGGTGGTACCGCAGCCAGTCGGAAATCTCCTCCGGCGCCGCTAATAAATTTGTCAGTGTGCCTCTTGATCTTTTACAACCGATTAATCACGAGAAAATTATTTCTAAAAATTCCTTTTACGGCATTTTATTCAAAGGTTACAACAAAAACTCAAACAAGTAAGTAAATAATTTAACTACTAATCTGTTGAAAATGTTGGGCATTTTGGGGGGATGCCACGGCTTTTTTGTAAATGGATGGCCGAAGAAGTCCAGAGGTTGCAGATTTGCACTTCGAAGAGGCTCTAGGTGACGCAGAGATGGCGAATTAACACATGCACATTAGCGGCGAACAACATTGGTAGAGCACTTACGGCTTAAGTATAGCCCAGATTGATCTGACTGTATGTCGTCGATCCAATGGGGCTCTAGAGGCGAGTCAACGATGAAAAAAAATGTTAAAAATTAATTAACGTCAAAGTGACACTGCCAAAGTCAAAGCAATCATGGATTAGGTATTTCATTTTAAATTTAGATAATATCAAGTGGTACAGGGTATTAGTATTTTGGGTTGCGTAAAAATTATTTTCAGAAGTAATTCTCTCGTGACTAACCCTGTATAGGAAGTAAAATTAGAAATTTGTTACGCTTTTAAACCTAAATAATATTAATACAACGCTAAGATTATTCGATTTATAATGGTCAAGGACTTTGTTTAAATCGCTAATTTGAGTTACATTCAAAGCTTTATGGCATCAACATTGACAATGTTAAAACAAAGTCAACATTTTCTTTAGAAAACATCAAAGTTTGTCGTTGTGTATTTAAATCTTGAAGAATATCTTTATATTCCTGAAGATGTTCTAAAAAGTACAAACAGTGTATAACTGTATTTGCTGTGAGAGAAATAAAATTATTTTCGAAACAGTACCACCTGTAATATGGGGCAAAAAACTAAAACTAAGCCAAAAATCTATAAGGACGAAATTAGATATATTAACATATCAGAAACAAAAAAGAAAAGCAACAATGAACCTGAAAAACGGACAATCATTTTATTCAGCGGAGTAAAACAAGATAAGACAGCTCCAGCAGAAGTTGGATGCATCATTAGAAAAAAAGTTACAAATACAATACGAGAATATTATTATCAGTACAAATAGAAATAAGCGATTACAGCATATAGACCCAAATGAAGACGGTAATACTACCAAGAAAGAAAAATTTTGGGAAACATTAACTGAAGTGGCGAAAATCAGTAAAGGCCAAATATGCATAGACAGTTGGGGACCTAAATGCAAGACATGGCGAAAGAAAGAAAGAAAGAAAGAAAGAAGAGGTAATTGAAGTCTTAGGCCGATACGGAAAAGAAAAGCGTGACAACAACTGGAAAAGACTTATAGAATTTCGCCTACTAAATAATTTCGTTATTGTAAATACGTTTTATGAGCACAGATACATACACGAATATACCAGGGAAGTAAAAAAGATGTACACGTTAGAAGAGGACCTGAACCGTACACAGACCAACAGACCACTATCTAGTAGTAGCGGAACTGAAAATTGACAAATACAGAACACAGAAGAAATAGATACAACCAAAAACTAGTGGCTTGTGGGAAAACTACAGTAAAACCAAAAAAAAAGACAGGCAGCATAGTGGAGTAAACAAATTATGAAATGCGTAAAATAAGTATAAGAAAAAAAAATTAAGAGAACACAGCAGAAGAACAACATATGAGACATACGAAACATATAAAGAATCCAAATAAATTAAAGAAGAAATACAGTTTGAAGAAAAAATGTAACAAAATAGCAAAGAAAATCTGAAATTAAGTATTTTACAGCGTATTAAAGGATTTAAGAAAAGGAAGAACAAAGAAATAACATCTTAAACAAGAAAGGACGAATTATAACAGATGAAAGGAAAATAATGAAACAATGGAAATAACACTTCCAAGACCTATTAAGAGGAAAAGGAACGGAAATATACAAAAATGACCAAAAACAAGAAAGGAAGACAAGGGACTAAGATTAACTTGCAGAACAAACAACATATGAAGACCTGAAAAACGCAATTAAGGAACGAAACAGTCGAAAGGCGTCAGGACCAGATCAGATAACACCGGAAAATGTTTAAATAGATGGGGGAAAGAGGGACACTGCTAACAGTAATCAACAAAGCATGGATGGACGATGAAATGCCAGCGAACTAAGAAATGGGAGCCAATATACAAAAAACACAATAAATACGACTGCAACAACTACAGAGATATCACAATACTAAGTGTAACGTATAAAAACTTTGAAAGAATTATTACAGAACCGAAATTGAGAAAAATCATAGAAAACCAACTGCAGGAAGTGTCCACAATCACATTGTTGCAAAAAAAAAAGAAATAATAAGTACAGTATTGAAAGAAAGAATTCATACATTTTCAAAAAGCTTTTAACAAAGTCTCCGGAGATAAAATTTGGAACCGTCTAAACAGGAAAGGAGGAAAAACTCACAAAATGTACGTAAAGTCTGTACAAGAATAATAAAAGCTATTACAAAAATATCAAATCTAAATGTTTCACAATTATAGAAGGACTGCGACAAGGAGGAGTACTAAGCCCTGTGATAATAATGGATAACAACATAAAAGAATGCAATAAAGAAACAAGCAGATTTTTTGTCGTAGGTATACAAAAGCGTACAGAAGATGAAAACATCAGAATGTGCATTTGCATGCGATGTGACAATTATAGCTGGAAAAGAAAATTTAAACATACGTAACAAAATTTTAAAGTGGAAGTAAATATAAATAAGTCAAAAAAATGACTGCAGTAAAAGAACATGTTGACAGCAATATCAGTATAAAAGGAGAAACAGTTAAACAACTTAAAGCCTTCAAGTACCTTGGAGTAACCATAAAAGAAACCGGAAAACAAAAGCAGACATCAATGGGAGAATACAGAATAGGATGAAGCTACCCATACTACGCAATGGCGGGATCCTTAATAAACGAGAAATCACCAAAAAGACTAAAAGATGAACTTGTTTATTCCAACGTTTTGTCCTATGCATTTTGCGTTGACATAATTGATAAAAAAAAGATTGAATTACACAATATTCTGGACAAAGATTTATGTACTTTTTACATATTCCATAATACTTTTTAGGAACTGTGAATTTCCCAGTTGTTTTCGTTTGAAAATCTTTAATTTTAACCAAAAAGAATGATCCACAATCATTTACATCCCTACATCTCGAACTTCCAACTTCTGTAGTTCATGTCTTCTGCAAGGATACATATATCACTTTGGATAACAAATTTTTAGCATCTGCACGCATCTAACCTAATTTTTATTCCTCCATTTCATAAATTACAAAGAATGTTTTTGGTATCTCTTTTTGAATTTTTGTAGCAATAAATAGGTAATAAATAATTTGTCGTTTTGTTGGCTCTTTCGATTGTGTGTGTTGTGTAATCTGACACGACGAAAATTCTATCAAAGACAAAACTTCAAAAATCCGTGACTATTTTTGATTGTGTTTTTATTGTTCTTTCAGTTTTAGTTAGGAAGTAATTATTATTATTATTATGGTTCATACAGTTCGGTGGTTGAAATCATTAAATAGCGTTAGTGCGTGTAGTACTTATTATACATATTTAATTGTTCTTTTAGAATTTTAGATTTAGGCCCACCACTGACCCGAAAATGACCGGCATTCAGGCAAGACTTCTACCATCACGGACACTACGACCAAGTAATGATCAGCATTGATTAAATTAATAAAAAACTTTTAAGATTCTAGAATTACAGCATTCAAATTCGTCTGCTATTATTCTCTAATGTGAGCCCATCCCAAAGAGCTAGCGTA